CAAATCTTATAGTAGTTGGGACTTCACACGCGTTTGCCACTTTATCAAAATCGTTCAATACCGCTTAATATCACTTTAGCTGTTTTAAATTAAAAGTTTGCCTTATTAAACAATTAAAAAATGTTTAACCGCAACTACTCATGCACTCGCATCAACTCTCGTTGTGACTCATTGAGAAAGAAATAAATGTTTCCAGGAATAACTTAAATATAGATGAAATCGCGCGCGTGAGATTCACGAAGTTGGCACTATATAGAGATCACGAAGTCGCGCGCGTGAGATTCACACGCGGCGATTTTCTTTACCAAACCTCTGTCAAACTTTCCTCTCCGCCGTTCAATCGCTCGCCTCTCCGGTGCCGGTTTCGACCGGTAGCGTGAGAGGGCTTCTCTTCCTCCTTCTGTTTAGCTAACTTGTTGCGATTGATTCCTCTCGTACGTCCTTGATTTGCCTTTGTACCCGCGGTGAGTGGGTCGGAGTACCGCTGTGCGTGACGGCCGCGCTCCGGTGAGTGGGTTCTCTTCGCGATAGCCGCTTGCTGCCGACAGCCAGTCCTATCGACGAAGTCCAGCTACTACCCACCACTTGCCTCACGCATGTCGATCGGCGAGGATCTTCTCTGAGATCCCCTCTCCACCCTGGTGATTCTTTTGACGAAGAAGTATGTGCTCGGCCGTGGAGAAGCGTCTGGTGGTCGTTGTCTCGCTTCTTTGTCATGATAATGTTTCGCCCAATTCCAAGTCTTGACTTGGATCTCCCATCGCGTCTCGCCTCGTCCAGTCATCTGGGCTCTCTCTCCTTCGTATTTTCTTCCGTGCGAGGTCGGTGGATTTTGCAGAGGAGCGTCGGCTCTGTCCTATCTGGCGTTGCGGTGGCTGTCTTCTAGGGTTCAGACTTCCGGAGATCTCCAGTGGCGGAGGTTGTGTGGCGGCAACGGTTCTTCGTTTCTGGTACCTCGATCTCCTTGTCTTCCCTTGCTTGATTAGTTACTAGGCAATGGTTCTCGGTCGATGCTTTTTGGGATTAGTCTTGATGTTAAGGCTTGATGAAATCTCTGCTTACTGGATGGTTTCGGTTGTGGGACAGCAACTGTCTCCTTCGGGTGAGTAGTTTTTGTGACGTCTTGAGTGTGACATTTCATCTAGGTTGATCTCTTGTAGTGTCTTCTGGTCCATGCGGTTTGTATTCATTGAGTTGGTATTGCTACCGGTGGTGGCTCTTGTATTGGCTCTCTGCTTTACACTGCCGTAGATCGAGTTTGGTAGGTGGAGTCATGACNTGTGGTTACTTGTGTCCTNCCTTTGATGTTGCTGTGTTGATGTTGTCACGGCTGGCTTGGTGTCAGGACTTGGTACTTTTGTTTGAGTCAATAGAGGAGCTAGTATGATTAAAGGGGATTGGCTTGGTTCTTAACAGATTAGACTTGGCTCTGTACTAGCCGACCTCGGGAGTAGCTTGGTAGGGGGAGCTCTCACCATTTTCCGGTTTAGTTCTGAGGTTTCGTTCTTGGTTTAGCTCATGGACTTGTGCATCGAGCCACTCTCACTAGCGCGAGAGGAGTTAGTGACAAAGAGTTGTGTGTGTCCTCGCCGTTGACGAATTGTTTATGGACCTCTGGTGAAAGGCTTTTATTGAATTAGACTTTGGTATGTAAGTTTTGTATGCTTTGTTTGGTTACTTCATCTCGAGCTTCTGATTTGGGAAGAACAAGTGCTTCGTCATCACTTCGATCGCTCCATAACTTTGTGTTATTGTCGAGCATCGGACTGAAAATCTAGTAGGCATATGTTTCCATGTTTTTTTATCCTTTTTTGCCATGGAATACATTGTATAGGGCTATAATTTCGATTGTAACTCAAACCGATTTATTTATGAAATATTTACCATTTAGCAAAAAAAAAA